GTAAAAACGTATTGTATCAATAGCCTACATTGCGATTCGCTGCAATACGGAGATAAAGTATAATATTCTCGATTGATATTTGCAGGGTGGGTAATATTGAACAATATCGGAAGTAAGCCTCACCCTTTTCGCGCATAAACATGCATAATAATATGCCATGTGGGACATATTATGTGGGTATCAAAATCCGGATTTCGGCACTGTCCAATCGAATTAAAATATGTGTCCACGGCGATGGGGTCGAATTCCCATTTAGGAATCGGGTAAACAGTATTATATGATTATAATACAATCACGTCGTCATCGCCGTCAGCTGTCATTTCGGAAGGCGCCGTCGTCATATTTTGTGCGTCGCATTGATGATAAAAAAAAAAATTACAAAAATGTGTACATATACATAATATTGCATGTGAACCCCGCGGGGGAGGAAAGCGCATTTATCTCTTGCCGGCAGGCGGTCGGGTGACTCGAGTGGTGCCCGCGGCCGAAAAGCACTATTCCTCCGGAGAGCACGCACGCGAAATCATCGTGCACATAACATTATAATAATATATTATAAATATGCGCAAAGATAGGGAAAGAGAGAGAAAAAGTGAGAAAGTGAGTGAGAAACAAGGATGCGGGGAGGGGCGGAGAGAGAGACGTATCTCACCCCTAATGGTCGAATCGAAATTATAATACAAAAACCACCATCCGATACGATCCTCGACGGTTAGCTGGTGGTGAACGTCACCGCACAGTCATTACATTTATAATCTACAACATATATATTATAATATTATAAGAGAATTTTTTATTTCGCAGAGACATCTCCAGGCAGTAAAGTGGGAGCGATTTGAGTTGCAATAATAATAATAATAAATAATAATAATATGATACCGAAACGTCTCGTCGTTTTCCACTCGAATACCCCCGAACGAATACTAGTAAATAAAAAATCAAAACAAAAAATATCTAAATCTGGTTTTTAGAAAAATATTAATTGTAAAAACATTTATTTAAGTGGTGCAGCTTATTTTCTGATACGTTTTTGAAATGTCAATATTTTTGTTACATAATTAACAAAAAAAACAAACACTTTTTTTGAATATTTTATGTGAACCTTAAATAAGTGTGCATATTGTATACCTACTTATGTTTAAGTCTAAATATTTTTTTAAAAAGTTAATACGTTTCAAAGATTATTAGTCCAAAAAATGTGATGTTTGAAAAACCATTTTACACAGATACATTTTTTTACATTCAAAAGTTTTCTAAAAACCATACATCAAACATTATATTTTCAAAAAGAAATTTATTCAGATTTCCTTTTTAATTTTAAAAATTATTGAAAAATTAAATAAAAAAATATTATATTATACGCGTACCCCACGTCAATGAGTCGTATAGAAAAAAACATAAGTTATTTTATTCTTCAGGTCTTCCGGTTACACTCTGTATATTAAATATCAGAGATGACTCAAAATAAGAGAGTCACGAGCCTCACATTTTAATGAAAACAAAGTTAAGAGCAGTAAGATGAATGATACCGACTGTTAATTTCACTATATTGTGAAAAGCGTTCAGAAAGTTTGACCACCCCAGTTAGAAATTGTTATAATATATTATTGCTTTCCGGTCAGCTATGTCGTTTGATCACGAAAAATATTTAATGCATAATAAAAAATAATAATATACAATACAGATGTTGACCTAGTACCTACAATTATGTATATAATATATATTAGATATGTGAGCTGAGTAGTTCTTCCAGCTAAGGTAAATTCACAAGCAGTTCAAATTCTACTTTGCAACCGGTGATTTGTTTTAACCAACAAAATGTCATTGATATTTTTGAGTTTTTTTTTTTTATCTCAATAGGTACTTTTATAAATACAATAACAACATTGTACGAAAAACGGTCAATTAGCCAATGTTATAATGTTTAGTGGAAATAAATTTCCTTTTTTTTTTAAACTGGCTCGGCAACTTGCACAATTGGCTACATGTATCCCCGCATAATTACAATTATTTAGGGATAAAGATTCCTCGATATAACAATTTAGAGAAAATGAACATAACATGTCTAATAATAGAACCTAAGGATGAACATAATACGGATAAATACAATGATGAATAAAGATAAATCACATTGTAAGTATACAAAACAACTCACTAATCGCCCTTTTATAAATGATAGACAACTTGTAGTGGATTCATGAAACGAGAGAGAAGTGTATTAAATCTCTCGTTCTCGAAATCGAACAATCATTATTATCGACGACATTTTTCTCGGCTGTTTTTCTAAGCGTGCATCATATAATTACCGAAGTCCAATTATAATATCAGACGCGAATATTACACTTTGCAAATTTTATATCATCGCGTGGAATTTCGTAAATATTAATAAATCACTATTACTATGCGAACTAGACGTATTTTCCGGTATTTCAAAACTGAAAATTATTGTTGATTGCACGTTGGAAAAGTTCAGCCGTACTTTATATAACATTAACAATCAGCTGCGTATTTATTATTTTTCAAAATAAAGTATGGTTTTCGCTGTAATTCTATTTAGCGAAATTTTAGAAACTTTTCGTTCTTCAATTCTTGGTTGTAGTACGGTTTTATGCGGGACCATTTTTCAAAGAAATAAAAATTACACTTCACTTTTAAACTTATGACTGTTCATCTTTTGGTATGCGTATATAAATTGTGTTCCCAATTATTATTGGTACACGAGTCCTACACTATAAAATTAATTTAATCTGTTTTCGTCATTATATAATAAACATTTCAATAATTAATTTTCAGATTTTATGAAAATATATTTCACAGTATTTTGTACAATACTCGAGAAAATATGATTTGTGGAAACATTTCAATGCATTTTGGTATTGAAACAAGTCTTAAAAAGCAATGAGATTTGAATCAAACACTTAAATAAATAATCCTTCAAAATTAAAAAAAAAATGATGCCGTCATTTCACTAATTGCCATCACATTTATTTTGGGATTTAGTTAAAAATAATAACACAAAAATAATATTATTATAATATGGCAGATAATTTTTTACCTCATAAAATATGTATCTTATATATTTGTTTTTCATTAAAAATCTTTGTTTTTTTCCGTTCCATTACTCTCTTCAACGAGATTCGTTTTAATATTTGCCCAACTCAATCAAGCAATAGGCATATCGTTTTTAAGAGTTCTTGTATTAAACCTTTGCATAAACACGTGTGTTATTGGAATTCGACATATTCGATCTCTATATTACTTCGAGCAATGTTTAGAAGTATAAAAAAGTAACGACGAAAAAATAAAAAACTTACACGATTGGTTTCTGTGCCTTTCGAACTCAAATTTGTAAGTATCCGAATGGAGACCGGAATAGACGAGAGGATGGTGGAAAAAGAACGGTGATACGGCGGGAGAGAAGAAAATATAGAGTGGGGCAGACGGATGGGGAGTGGAAGAAAGAGAAATTACATCCGACACGGGTGACTTTTCTCGAGATGAAATATGAACAGAAATAAGGACAAGAACCCTTGACTTTTATATTGTACTCTAGGGGTGCCAAGTAGAGAGATGGTATGTGAAATATACGAGTGTATATAGAGTGATGAATGCAAAAGTAATTTTAAACGATAGGGAACATTTTATTTTACTTTTTTCAGACGATATTGAAAAAAAAAAGAAAAAAACCTTTTTATCGGTCTGGCGCAAAAGTTTTGTTTGCCATACGCGATCGGCGTGACTTTTCGTTTATTAACGTGACACAGTGTGGTGACACGTTCGAGATTAATCTTTAGAGAATCTTTATGTTTATCACATTCGTGTGAAACTTTTTTTTCCCATCTAAAAAATAATCGTTTATGTAGTTTACTTAGAACATACTCGTACGCGTTTTTAAAAGGTAACGACTTTCGTATTTAGCAATTTGGAAGGATTCATTACTTCTATAATTAGGTATAAGGTGCAATCCTAAAAGCATAATAAAATTCCTGCATTCTAAATTCTTGCATTCAGTCACCAGAATAAAATACAATCTCCAACGTAAAATAAGATACGTACTCCGCCTGAAGAAGTTATAGGGTGATGCAATCGTAAACCTATTAACTATGGACCTTGCATAGAGTGAAAAATAATATGTGGATTTCGAATAAAAAAGACAAAGATATTCTATAAATTCATGGAAAATCCATACACAATGATTTTCTCCTATGACATATTAATGTGTTTCGTGCTATGTTGACAACCAGCGTTTTACAAATTGACCCATTGAGCATGATTGTGTTATGGAGCAAATGAGTAACAATAATATATTCTCTTCCATGATATTACCATCGGATATTTCTATCCGTCTCAGTCAATATCTAGTAGTCATACTTTAAGCTAGGGGGGGGGGGGTTAGTATTTTTATAGTTAATAAGTTTATGGATGCAATACAGCTGTGAACCCATTTAATCACGGTATTTTCGTCGTATGTCTGAGTTCACATAAAATGATGTCATGAAGTCCTGTTACATTAATTTATTACGCTGGTAGCAAAACGTTGGTAACACGTCTTTATTAACAGGTTTAATGTATTCATTACTGTAAATGCATGACATGGCACAATGATGTAGTGTGAATTCGGTAAAATTGGTGAGAGGGATACATTATCAATTGCTTGTCTTCTTGAGTTTTAATACGGTTCATGACTATTATTTCATATAATTTATAGGTGCGATATGGCAAGGAAATGGGTTGATAACTTTTTGGATCACTTAGGTCCTTCCTTTCCTGGTCTGGGAAGGGCTATTTATTTTAGACTTTCCAATGGAGACATGTAATAAATAGTTGATATAGCCATAGCCTTCCTCTTAATCCAAAGTGTTTCATTTTTTTCTATTACAATTTCGTCGCTTTCCAATTCATTATTTCTTTCAGACTGGTGATGATTTCGTTCATTTGAAAGTCATGGTGTAAGATATGATTATTTTGATCTCTCGTAATTTTATTCCTTCCGGACTTACCACTTTTTGGTAATTCCGAGGCTATTTGATTAGCGGTGACACTTACACCTGTTCCATGTATAGTTGGATCTCCACTGACATTTTTTATAAAGCACCAGGCTTTCTTGATGTTAGTAGTCATACCAGTATTTTCAATGAGATTGTGCAGCTTTCTGTTTTTGTCATAACCAAGTTGTTCGGTAAGATTCTCTCATGCCACAATAGTGTCGCCATGGATTGTTTTCAAACCAATCTTGATGTGTTTCTAGCAACTTTCCAGTATCTTTACTTAGGCCTGGTGTGTAATTTTCTCTACATCAAAGTGGTGTATGCATTGTCTAGACATTTTCTTTACTTTATTTACAAATATTTCATTATAAAACCCAAAGGTTTACTCAGATATCTAAGGAAGTTAACGAATCCTCTTTCCAAATTGATAACCATGTAAAATTATAAAATGTATTGTATGTATTTAACTTGTAAAATTATAATTTCTATATAAAATGTATATAACGTGTGAAATATGTTTAAACATGTGTATAATATTATAGTTAAATATAATATATTAGTTAAAATATTGTGAAATTTAAAAAAAAATAATATATACATACTGATAAGTATATGAAAACATTTAAAACATTAAGTGTGTTTTTAGATATGATTCGATCAGAATATAAAATGTTAAAATATTGATTAGAAGAAAAGTCATTTCATTTTTACCAAGTAATTTTGTTATTTTGTTTACCTTATGGCGAGACGTTTTCCATTCGCAATCGATACAATTTGACATAGCTGGTACGACACTTTAATAATAATATTGTGCCACCTGACTGGTTCCGCAAACAGTATACCGACTTATAAGTTTTAGCGAACATTTTACTGAAATATTATGATATTGCGATATTCGCACCGTCAGTTGTTAAATTAATAAATCACATATTTTCTATAGTATATGCGATCTCTGTGTGACCTATCAAACTTTTGTGAGTCTGACCCCACCGATGACTATTTGTGTTTACAAAAGCAGTATCAGCAAGTAGCAAGTATCCTTTAGCCAAGTAATAATTCTTTATGTTTGCGTTATATAAACGTGCGTTAAATTCCAAAAATAAAATAAATAAACTCTTACATGCTTTATGACGCCCTCCCGTTTCGATCTTACGAGTTTCACCCGACTCACGCAGTGGGATATTTTCAGTGTTCGGCGGAAAAATGGATTCGTTCACGTTTTCATTTTTTTTTTTCAAATGAACGCGATCACGTTCACTTATCTAAAAAACAAAAAAAAATTGAGCTCTCTCGTAATGCTATAATCGTTCGTTATTTATTTACGTTTCTCAATCATTATTCATTGCATATTAATATTATAATACCAATGATAATAATATGTTCAACCCTTTATATTTTCAAGGCAATTTATCTTACTTCCATTTTTTCTTCGATAGTTTCCCAGAAATAAAGTATTATCATTAGACTAATAATTATTGATTATATTATTATTATGAATTACTTTATATTAATTTCAAACATTTTTGATTACATTTTCGTAATCATGCTTATGTTAAATTACATATTTCTATAACTGTACTCGAATTTTCTATTCGTAAATTCAATAAAATCAATAAAATAGGTAACATAATCATCTATGTTGATTAAAATGTTTTATAGTTTTTGGGTTTTATAATTTTTCTAAAAGCTAATAACTTCAAAAAGTTAAAGTTTGTTATTAAAGTTATTTTAAGTTCGGTATCCTTAGAAAGCACATATCGTTTTTAGTGTTCTATTAAAAGTTTATATAGTCGATTGACCTTTAATGTCTATTTGTTATTATTAATTTAGCCTAATTATTCCATTAAACGTTGTTTTTATTAATGAATTCAAACGGTAGGCATAGGCAAGTGAAATGGGTCGAAAGTTCACCTTGAACCTCATGTTATTGCAGTAGAAGTTATCTTAGGAATTCCCAAAAAATTGTTTTTAAATTTCTTTATGAAACCTAATCTTATAATTTATGATGAAAAATTGTAATTTCAAAACTGTGAGAACATGCGGAATTTTAAAACTAAAATAAAATCTGGGAATCGAATGATCAGTAGTTACACACGACAAACATTTTAAGCTTATATCTTTTCATAAATCAAAAATCAAAATGTCAAGATATCGTACATTTGAAGTTAACGAAAACCGATTCCAAGATATTTCAAAACTGACAAACGTGTTTGCATACTGTGAATATTTAAATTGTCTTACCGACCGTTCCTGAGAATTAAATTAATATTTTAACTGATTTTACATTTCGTTTACAGCTTATACCACACATATGCGTGGGAGTTAACGAAGAAAACATGTTGATGAATTATGATATGTTATCCAATAATTAATCTTCTTTCTGAGTACCTACCGCGAAAATCGTGTCGTCTGTTACAAGCACGACAGTTTTCTATATTATTCCATTTGCTTTTGAAGTACTCGAGAACACATGAGATGTGTTCTATTCGGTCGTTAGTAACTTCTGCGAAAAACGTCAAAGTTCAGACGCGGAAATAAATTGTCATCAAACGGTTTTAGATTGATCGGCACACTTCTGCGGTGAAGTTATAAACTATGGTGCACAGACGTGTAATGAGACGATTTGTTTCAAAACTTAAAAGTTCTAAAAATACTACCACACATTACCTACCGTTGTTGTTATTGAATTAAAAAAAAAAAAAAAAATTATAATAATTATTTGCACTTTATTATAATTATTTACAATTATTGCTAAGTTCCCTACTGCGCGTGTGCGTGTTTAGTAGGTATAATAGGTCGTAACCGTAATTAACAGGCGTATTAAAACAAAATTCGCGTTTCAAACACGACGACTTTCGATTCCAATGTGGGTAAAATAAAAAAAAATATAAAAATACAAATATAACAACCGCCATTTAAAATTGTGGTAGCCAATTATAATTGTATAAAAAAGTACAACACTATACTGAGGAAAAAATAAAGGTCACATAAAATATTATTATAATTATAAAAAGTATACAAAAAAGTGTATAGGTAGTGTATAAATAATTTTCTGATGTATCAATAACAACAGCTTTCGCGACCATGTCCTTATATTTGGGGATAGGTAGGAAGGTACAACTAATACTTTAATACTTTTTTCGATATTTTTGTACATTATTATAGTTTTCGACTATGAACAACGAATTCTACGTATGATTGTGAAATGGAAATTTGTACATATTTTATGACATAACGGTATAAAATATTTACATTTTCAGTCCTAAGTCTGAACCACAAGGGATGGAAATTCCTGTTTTTATAAAAGGATTTGGAAAAAAAAGTTGCAATCATCTGAACTTCAAAATAATCAAAACATGTGCTCTATTAGCCTCAAAATTGGGGGAATCTCTAATGATAAAGTTATTATTGTCTAACGGAAAAATCATTAATCTAGTTCTATGATGTGTCTAATACAATGTTAAACTAAAGATATTTCGCTACATACATTATGTAGACTTTAAAACTACCTAAGTTGAGAAAAAATGAATGGTTCAAGTCTTTAGACAGTGAATGTTAGTCGACTAAAAACAATTATGTTACAACAGAGAAAACTTGGTTAAGCCATTAAGATATTATATGAGTTTACAAAAATGGGTTCGACCGCAACAGTGGCCATGTGATGCGGTCACTGTTGTGGAACAAAACAGTAATAAAGTGTTAATATATTAGTCGTGTATGTGTGTGTGTGTTTTGTTTCATTAGTCAAAACTAATTGCATTATTCGACCATTGTATAAACTATATACATTTGAGCAGATTTAAAGCAATAAACTGTTCTAGGCTTAAGATATCACGGAAAGTCAAAAAATAATCGAGTAACTGTGTTATAATATTGTGGTTCAAATTTAATTAATATTTTATCTCAAAATTATTTTCAAACAAAAATAATTCTACAAAAACTTAAATTATTATGTCCATTTTCAGCTGAGGTTCCTAACCGAACATCGAGTGAATGGTATTAATATTATTTGAATATTTTACTACACGTCATGATATCCATTGTTGATGAACTTTTTTTTCATTTCTGTACAAAAATTTTGTTTTATTATAACGATTTTCTATGGCATGCACACTTTATTAAATTAAATACGGTATTAATATCAAAATGATTTAGTATTAACATTTTAGCTTGTATAGAAATATTTTTGTGGATAAAAGAAATAAAATATTTGCTAAGCGAGTGAGGCCTGTAAAATAATAAAAAATAAATAACAGATTGATCGCATTGTAATACTGCAATGGCTGAGTTCTGCTAACCCTACCTTTAGAGTTTCAGAGGAATATTATAACATTCTTTCTCCAATAAAAATTTAAAAATTATTACGTAATTACCCTTTTGAATCTATTTTTTCGTATCTACTTATAAAAAAAATATGCAATAAATCATATTTCATATAGGAATTTTAATTCTGAAGTTTTTTTTTGCTTTTCATTTTTTTGTTTGATAAGTTATTTTTGTATTTTAATTTAAAAACAATATCTCATATCGAATGCATCCATTATTAATATTAATACATTTACTCGTGAAGTAATATCAGAGAAAAATCAATGTTAAAATATTATTAATGATACGCAACTCTTTTTTTATTAACTTTTTTTTCACTTAAATTATTTTCGTCATAATTGTTATAGTTTTTAGTATTTTCTCAATAAGAAGAATATCCCTAATTACTATTTCAGGTAGATACTATTGAATTTTAAATAAAGTATTAGCTTAATTAATTATTGGGAAATTAATTCAATGATCAATATTCAACATATTGTTTTAGATCCTTAGCAGATGGTAAATGTTTTATTATTCAAGATAGGTGTTAAGCTTTGGCAGTATTGACAATTGAATCAGATAGAACAAGTGAATAAAGCAGATTTTGAAGGAATATTCACTTCATTTTAAAATCTCCAATTAAAGAGTAATAGTTATAAATGTATCTAGATTATTTATTATTATTAATAAAATTAATATTAAACGAATAGAATAATAATAAGCGTTACAGTAAATAAAATTTTTTTTTTCAGTTCATGTTTTATTTTTATAATTTAATATATAGTATATTATACCTACCATAATTAATTTATTGATACAATAATAGATAATATGAATAACATATTTTTTTACAATGTGAAAAAAAAATTGAACCCTTATGAAGAAATATTTGTTTTACTTAGTAGTTATACTTTGTTTTTGAAAATTCTAATTTGTTTATTTCAAGTTGGTTTTCCTATACGCGTTACTTAAGAAATAATAATGTATGAAAATATGGAATATTGGAATAAATGCAGTTCAGTTTTCAACCAATTTTCGCGAATTTTTTTCTCACCAAAATTTGCATGCTAGATTTGGAAATTATGGTCATAAAATCTTATTTTTAATATATAGAACCAAAAAATACAAAACATATTATTCTTTTCACAATATTGCAGTGTTTTTGGTTTTTTCTATTTTCTATTTTTTTTTATATGTCAATAAATAATGTCGATATACCCACTCAAAAACTAGATAATGTTATTCTAGTTATAAAATGCAGGTAAATTAACTTATATTTTGTATTGTTTTATTTTTATATTGAATGTTTTTGGTAATTTTAAGAATTGCTGTGAGGTAGGTAAAAAAAAACCCCCAATTAATTTACGAATATCAACTGTGAAGATTTTCAGTAATCAAATATCCCTGTGATGCACTTTTCGCCTCTATATTGTATAAGTAACAATAGTTGATACAAAACTTCTTTACTCAACATAGTTTTACTTTAATAAAAGTTATAATATTTATTTAGAAATTTGCACAAAGTTTTTTTTTTTTTTTTTGGCCTTTTATGAAGGTCCACAGTTGTGTATACTTCGGCATAAAGTTTTCTAATATAATAAACAGGAGTGGAGTTGTCAAAATGCAACTTTTCATCTGTGGACCCTGTTGTTTGATACTTACAAAATACCCTGTCATAATCTTGAAATCATTCAAAAGGAAATTGCATTGTATTTGTAATCCAGATAAGTTTGAGGTTATCGGCTTATGGTTTTGATGTGAAATACAAAAATACAATAAAACAATATATATTTTATACTGTGTATTTTATTTTCGTAGCTTAAAATCGATATGGGTAGATGTATAGGTATGTATTAGGTGCATATTATATTTATGCGGTTACAAAAGTCTAAAAAAAAAGACATCTGATAAACATTTTTCATTTTTTCTCAACACGGAGCTTTTTTAAATTTTAATACACTTAATTTTGAAACATTATTACTGTGTTATTTTCCGTGTACCTACCCTGACCCTTCCCTTTTACCTACTTTTGGAAATGTATTAACGATTTGCATAACACAAAAAAAAGCCGAGAGGAAAATACACACTTATAACGATTACCAGGACTCTGGTTGACAAAATAGAGTATACATAATATTATAATATTTTATAATGATATAATACTTGTTGTTATGTATTATGTTTGAGTTTTTTTTTTTTTTTTGTATGGATTTTCTATTATGTTGATATTATGTGTATTTTTAGTAAATTTTTATACGCATAATATTATGCATTGCGTAACAATATTGCGTTTGTCGTATATATAACCGTCTTCTCACTATTTACGGCCAAATGAAGGATTCTGTTTATTCATTTAATTTTCATTTCAAAAAATAATATTGTAAATTGTAATGTTCAATAAACTGTATAAATTAAAATTAATATCTACTGACGAATCCGTAGTGACATATTTTGCGTGACGAATAATAATTGTAATGATTAATTATAACCATATAATATTAAAATAATGTAGTAACGCATTGACCCCTATCCAACAGCAGCTATTATTATTATAATATATTTTTAGAAAACAAATTTAGCCCTGTGTATAAAATTTTTTTTTAATAATTTATTTGATACATAATTAAGTTGTTCGTCCCGTCTTAAACGCCTTTTTTAAAAAAAAAAAACAAAAGTAAATCATTCCAGACCATATCTAAACGTATTAATATGCTTTAATTGCATGTCACTGACATTACCGGTACGCTACGAAGTTATCCAATTACCGGTACGAACAGTGACAGATAAATAAAAGAATTATCCGTTATAGACATCATGGATATGATGCGCTAGAGAAATCAAAGCACAGTATTACTTGCTCGGCGCACCCAGATCACAAGAAGGTGACTTTTTAAAAGGTAACATTTTTTTTCTTTAATACAGTGAAAATAAAACTGCAGGGTCTTAAACACAGCTTATCTTAACATCACAAAATGTAATAATATCGAATATTAGTGATATTATATGGAACATGATCTATGGCCCGGACTATAGGTATACTAAGAATTAAGGTATTTGTTTTATACAATACGTTCTTTTAGAAAAATATAATCTTCCTTCTATGTAACTTACTAATAGTTTGTTATTATGGGCTACATACAAACCATGCGATTATTTTTTGCCTGCTGAAATAATGAACTCGATTGTTTTATTAGTTGAATAAAATGTTCAGACTAAAAAAATTTTAAGAATCACTTACAAATACTCGGTGTAGATAGAATTTGGTTATAAATATAATTTATTTAATTTATTTGAATACCTAGATTTATCTTTGGTTATAAATAATACATCATAATCATGGAGATTATTTAATATTTTTCATAATAATTATTAGGGGTAGAATTTATTTGCAAAACAATGTTTTTTTTTTTTATTATTTCTACGTAACATTTTTACACGAAAACCATAAACTAATTGAAACAGAATCTACTAATTAATAATAAAATATTATAAGTATAGAATTGTTATTTATTTTAATTGGTTATTATTGCGTTGAATATTTCTATAATGGTATAATGATATTATATGTTCTTTAAAATGTTGAAACACGAAATATCGGCGATTGGAACAAAGAATGTTTAGTATGTAACAGTATATTGACTAAAACTTGTTCTACCTACAAATGAAAAACAAAAAAATAATGTATGGGTAATATTATCGGTCGTCTGAGCAAGATAAGATTTTATAGTAAACTTACAATTTGAAAAATAACACAATAACTATATACGTTCATTTAAAATTTAAAATTTTAAATAATTTTTAAAATTCATAAGATTTTCAAAAATCGAATACTATAATTATCCTTATTTTAATAAATTTTAAGAATATGCAGCTTCAGTCCATAGTAATGTAAAATATATAATATATATTTTCAATAAATTAATGATAAGAAGTAATATAAGTAATAAATAATTATAAGTAATTTTAATAATATCAATAATTATTGTTAGTTAAGACTAGTTGTTAACTAGTTGTTGACGAATTTGCTTAAGGATGATTAAAGCTACGGTCTTCATTAGCGTAAGATAATAAATATAAACGGTTGTAAATAATTAGAAGAAAATGGAATAAAAATGGAGGACTGTATCTAGCGAGGCGTGGTGGAACCTTACAATTTATTTATTGAAGGAGGTTATTGCAGTCAATTAGGTTAGATTAAAATTTTGTAATAAATGAAATATTATACTATATTACTACTATCAGCAATTTAAGATAAATGTTTTGTTTACTGAAAGCTAATAAAAAAAAAGATAAATGTAAAGCTATAAGGAAATTTAAAAATTTAAAAATTTAATCATGAGTTGGACAATTTACTTTCAGTAAAAAGGAAGCAAATTATAGGAATTTACAATTATAATCATATGCATTATTTTAAAAATACGAAGAAAAAAATTATTGTATATTAAAAGAGAAAAATCCAAAACTACAACCAATCAATTTGAACTCAAGAAAAAAACATGCAAATGTATAAAAATCCTAGCCTTAGTAATAATAAAGACTAGATATTAATCATTAAAAAAAATTCAACAATCAAAAAAGTATTTTTTTAAAATACATTTATTCAGCTGAACATTTTTAATGATACTGATGGTAGCTGTAAGTTATTTAGTATTTTGCATCAACTATAAGCATTTGACTTAGCTGGATGCGTTCAAGAAACATAGTTCAAACGTTATTTTCAAGAAAATTGTCATGAGATCCAACCATCCTGTAATTGGTGCCGGTGTGATCCCTCCTTCGATGGATCACAGGATCACGAATGGATGGTAAACGCAAGGAAAATTTTCTTCAACAGCTTACCAGCAGATCGTCTTGAACCTTGTCAGATGAGTCAGTTTGAAGCCTATTAGATGCAATAAAATTCAGTGTTATTAGACGCTCAATCCGAGTGGTTTTTTCAAACACGGCTCATTATTATCAATTCGATCAGATAACGTTGTCCAAGCCATTCCAAGTCAATCGGATGTTGGACTGGGAAAGGTCTTTCTGAGCGTCTCCCATGATGGCTTTTAAGCGTATAATTACTGTTAAGAATAAAAAAACAAACAATGTGTGAACTTGACGACGATCAGTGATTATTATTACACATTTATTAGTATCGATGTTTCAAAGTCTGGCAGTGATGTAAATTATAGGAATGTAAACGAATATAACAAACAATTAATATTTCACCTTACTATTAGATTAGATTTTTTTTTTACGACGGTAAAAAGTCTTAACAACAGTAGTATCATTTGAACAACCTTTAAATGGTTTTTTTTTAATTATACCGTTCTGGACTCTAGAATTCAGAGTTACCAGAAAAGAAAAGAAAAACATTTAGCCAGACCATGACAACTTTTAACGGTCGGAAGTATAACATCAAAGATAATTGGCATTAATTAGTTAGGGTCTGTCTATTATTATAATATTATGAAACTTTCTTACTTGGTATTTGCAATCCTCTTCTTCAACTCTCGCACATACCGCTTCCATGCATTTAGCTGTCAAGAGAAAACCGTAACCGTAAGTCAACTTAATGTAAAATTAAAATATAATATGGTTGGAGTCCATACCTTTTTCTTCGACACAGTCCATTTTCCTAACTATTCCTTCTAACAATTCAGGTTTTGCCGTCAGACGGAAATTGTGTGGATATATTTTATCAAACGACCTAATCATTTCATCGTCTATGTCCAATTGTGTTCTTTCGTGTTCGTGAATAAACCTACAGAAACCAAATGAATTTTATTCATCTCGATGTTCTCATCTGAGTCGGGTTTCTAACACTCATGATTAATCACAGGTGATATACTGTTGGGTCCCGAATTATTTTAGGTAGATATGTAATTACTAATTACATAATGTATGTGTAAAATAAAAATATTAAAAATAGTAAAAATCAAATATTAAAAAAAAACATAATTAATATTATAAAATATGACTTTGTTAAATTCAAAATTAATTCAACTATTCTGAATAATTTGTAATTAATCCAAATGTATCTTTGTACCCCATTTATCAGCAAAACCAATAATTATATGATTCGATTTTGTAAGAGTAATATTTTATAGGTACCTACAATTTTACCAGCACAAAAGTAATTTTTTAAATATATTTTTAACATTTTGTGTAGTACTTTCTTAATAATTCAGGACCCATCTCGGATGCAGACGTACGATAATGTACAAAACTACATAAACTCATTTTTATCGCTCGACTTATTATATTGATCAATATCATGTTTTTTAAATATGAACATAAATCTATCGACCAATCTTATTTGATTTTCATAGCAGTTATATTATACTTAAAAATTGATAGAAAATATTTTCCAGGACAAAACGCAACGAGCTTTGACAGTAAATTATAATTACCAATCGATACACAGATCGGAACCAGGTATTGTGTCGCCAGTCAATAAAGTATTTTCGGTCCATTTGAACTGCGCCGTGATGTTAAACATTTCTTGAATCGTTTCAAGTATTTTACAAAAGTCCCTTTTTGGTTCAACTTTGCTGTGGGTCAATACATTTAAAAATATTAATTGATATTGTACGAAATAATATTAAATGTTTTGTATGATTCTTTTTTTACCTCCCCATAACGCTCAGCGTTGACGGTCTTTGAATCAGCGACGAGCTTGTCTTCTTTCTGCGAATTCAAAGATGACACACAGCAATATGATTAATATATCGTACAAAGGAGTACCTAAGATCAATTGGTATGACAAAATAAAATTATGTAAACGTTACTTGGAAGGGACTTTTGGAGGTGCCACGTGAATTCCGGCCAAAGACCTTTCCCAGTCCAAAGGGATGGCTTGGACAGGATTTTCTGGTGGAATCGATAGCGAGTCTTGTTTGAAAAACCACTCGTACAGCGGTTCGTCGGACTGAGCGTAATAACACTGTAGACCAGCATTCGGTATTTCTTGATAGGCGGCGAACTGGCACTTATCGTCCGACACGGCTGTCGCGATTGGTGGGTTCAGGACGATCGGTCGGCAAGACGGGTCGCCGTTGTAGAAAATGTTCCTGGCGTTTACGATCCAATCGCCTTCTAGGGGGTCGATGACTTCCGGTGGGTAATCGTTGAAGGGGCACACCGGTACCGGATGGTTGAGTCCCATGACGAGTAACTTGATGTAGTCGTACTTGAGCTTGTCGTTCGAATGTTTCTTCAACTTTTTCAGCCAAGTCGAGTACTTCGATACGACTGTTGATGGATATTAGAAACGCGTTTGGTATTGCAAAATAAAGATCACGATGAAGTATTGATACCATAGGTAATATCATTATTTATAGACACAAAATGTGGAGGAATAATAATAACAACGATTCAGCAGAATATTATTATCATTCGTATTTCATTAGGTAATTTTATCTCGATTAAAAATACTCGAATACAGTCAACTCAATTAACTGTATTTTAAAACTATTATGGCATATCCCACGTATTTTGGTCGGAAAAAAAATATTTATTCTTCGTTTTGCTTACCATCCGTGTCATCTTTTCTGAGTATTACCAACTTGGCTATTCGAGCGAAAAATTCAAACATGTCAGCTAAATTATTTTTGGAGTTTCCTTTTGATGTCGAACTTTCTCTTTTGATCGAACTACTTCTTTTGCCGTTTGTTGACATTTTTAAAAGTTAATATTGCGTGAGTGTGTATGTTCAGGTTATTATATTATAAATTTTGATAAATCCTATTATAAAATTGGATTTGGTAACTGTTTGTAAATAATTTAAATCAACACATGTTACCTTAGCGATCCGTAACACCATTGGCAATTAAACATTATTTTAAAAAAGTAGAATTTACCGTAATTTTTTGTTTAGTTTACATTTTAGTTGTTTTGGAAAACTTAGCATAATTTTTAATTATGAATAAATTTGATTGAAAGTCGGATATACATAACTGGTTGAATGAATAGTAAATAAATTGTGTTTGTTTTTCATCTTGTTATGTACACTCTGTCATTCGGGAAAATTGAAATGTCACAAAAAAAAGAAACATCAAGCCTCAGTGAACTTGATGCTTTCATTTAGCATAAATCTTTTGCAAATTTATATTATAGAGAATTATTTAAATCGTTCTAAATGTAAACGTGGAACGCATGAAATTAAAAATAAACAAACATCCAATGACAGTCCAATTTTGCTGTTCTAAATGTTTACTTTTGTATTTTGGTGGGTATATCAAGCCAAATATATGCAAATGAACTTCTCTTCGAGTTTCAATGGTTACGTGATGTTATATATATATAGAATATTTTATTTCGTGACCATTTATTCATATCATTTTTGAATTCAAAAGCATCATTTGTCTAAAATGTAAAATAAAAATATTTTTAATTCATTTTTAATAATCCATACGCTACGAAACCAGTATCAAAATTAAAAAGTTCGTTGTTTCTGTCAACTGAACCACCAAAAAATGTCATTTTCATGTCTAAAATCAATTTTTAATTACAATCCATAAGTAAAATTATTTTATCCAACCCTCTTAAATTATGTTCATAAACATCGTTCAAATTCAAATAAAACAAAATGAAACGTTTTGTTTCATAATATATTTTATTATTTTATGCGTTGTTATTCCTTAAAACACGCACCCTTGAAAGTTCAAATATTTTTTTTTAAATATTAATCGTACTCAAATAGAATAAGAAAATAATAATTATAAATGCTTTGAAAAAAGTTTAATGGTCGGGACTTATGGATGTTTAAAAATACTTGTGCACTAACTGTATTTATAATATAATTTAAAAAAATTAAATATCGTAAATTATGTATAATAATTGTATATAATTTAAGTTTCCGTATAATACATACAATTAATTACATAAAATAAATCACTAAATAATGACTGAATATCTGAAACAAATACCTTGGTATTGCTAATTAGAACTTGTGTGTTATAAATTATAAATTATAATACATATTGAATATAATTAAAATGCTTCTAGATATTTAAAAAAAATGTAAATATGGATCAATTTAAATTCGTACATATTTAAAACTCGGACGTTGCTTAATTCATGTTATTAATAATTCCCTAAAAATAATTAGGTTTGGTAATTATTATACGCATAACAATCATACCGAAAATAAACAAATCAAATTAAAATTATTTCAACATTAATCTATTAAAAAAAAAACAATAATTTATACGATGAATAGTATTATTTTATGTATTTGTATTTTGTATACATGAGTCATGGATAATAATATTATCCCTTCTCACACACGATTATTCGTTTCACCGTGTTGGTAACCATATTTACAATCAGCAAATGTACCGAAAATAATTAATAAACAAAACGACTTCACAAACATACAGTGTAACTGACAGTATAAACAAATTAATTTGGAATGAAATTGGTTTTATCATACTACTAATTAGACTAAAGTGTTAAAAGAAGACTAATACATTTAAAAATAATTGGGTATGTATATTGTTTCTAAAGGTATAGAATATTATTAAACATTAAGAATATTAAGTCCTCAAACAAATTTAAAAAAATATTATTGAATTAGGCGTATTAATTAATATTTAAAATAAAAAAACCTAGTGGTTATACCAAACGTGTTACAAATATGTGGGTCACGGTAGCTAGTGATTAGTTTGTAGAAATATTGTATAGGATCTATGCTCAGAATGTATTTATCTTATATTTATTTTTGACTTCATAGACATAATGCAACTGACAGTTTAATTATACCTGGACCATTTTAACAAACTGTGAATGTTTATAAATTAATATTAATCACTAACGTTTTTAATTTACCATAGTCCTTATATATTCAGTCCCATGATCACGGATCATTTCTGATGAAAATTTTCAGTAAAATTATCCACTTAATAATTTACAGCAAAAATGTGGGGTCACGGTTTGAAACGACGATGTTTGTGCCGCTACAGAACAACTTAATAAAAGTAAAAAAAACCTTTGGCTCTGCTTTGAAACACAAAATTTGGCACTTTCACTGGACACTTTTTTTAGCAGTGCAAAAAACCTCAAGAATTTGAAAATATGGTCTTTTAGTGCATTTATAAGTTACAAACATCGAAATTCGATCAAATGCATTATTGGATGAAAAATGGGCGTAAGCATGCTTGGCAAATCATCTTAACTCATATTTCTGCCGACCTAGATATTCGAGTTGTTTAATTTTCCTGCACTTGAAACCAACACATTATCCCACTACACATGCCGAGTCCTGTAAACACAAATCTGTATCATCTGATCCTCAGAAAAGCCACAGTTTTCCTTCTGGCGATGAGCATAAACAGAAACCGATCCGAAATTGTAGGTCCTACCGAAACAACAATCTTCGTGAATCGTTTTCTGCGTGTGCCGAATATTATCCGAGGTATTATTAGTATAGTATGGTTCTGCATAAAATGGATAAACATAGACCGGGCACAAATCACATACAATATTATTTGTACAAACTGATCACTAGCTACCGTGACCCAATTGTTTGTGGAACATTTGGTATAACCACGAGGTTTATTTTTATTTTAAATAAAATTGTTTACTAATGTTTTATAATTTTAAAAACAATGCACATACCTAACGTTTTGTTATAATAGTCTTCTTTTCTTAGAACACTATTAATTATTTGTATGATAAAACCAATTTAATTCCAAGTCAATTTGTTTAACACTAGATGTAAAATGATATATATATATATATATTATATTTTTACAAAACCATTTTTAAGGACTATTATTCTTAAAATAAACATTTTAATAAATGAGAAACTATGCTCGTTCGAATTAGAACATCAATTTTTTTTTTTAAGCCTGCTCATTTTGAAAATAAAAGATTTTATCGACACAGGATACTTTTTAAGTAGTACAAAAAATCTCTAGAATTTCAAAATATGGCCTTTAACTATATTTAAAAATGTTAAAAATCAAAATTTGAATAACTTCATTTTTAAATTAAAAAATGGGGTGATTATGTTTGAGAAATCGCCACATATATGATAATAATTTGAGTTTAATAGTTTAATAATATGAATTTGCACAGTTAAATTCACATTCAATATTATGACAATCGACATTGGATTCAGCGATTTAAACGATAACACATTGTATTTTAAATAATAACGACTACTGTTATAATTTGTTTTATTTTTGTGGAATTAATATTATAAACGAGAAAGTTTTCCCCCTTTGTATGGTTGTTTAATAAAACTGTATGCGAAATAGGTACCATAGTATGAATCGCATTGTCGGTTTCAATTTTATCCCCAGCTCGGATTATACCATAAATTATTTATAATACAACTCTTAAACAAAAATTAAATCATACCTATCATAAATGCAATTGGAATTTTCTAACATAACCTATCTCAGCTGAAAACTTTGTAATAATTTTAAGCAAAGGAAATGTTAAAAGTATATATTTGTTTTAAACACCGAGGGTACAAAAAAAAAAAAAAAAAAAATTAAAGAACTTTAAGAATTTCTAATTTTCTAATGCTCCAAGAATCTGTAAAATAAAAATTGATTATTTTGTATGAATCAAAATTCAAAGTTTTTTCTTAATAATATTATATTAAGATGGGGTGTAACGAATCTTCGAAATGTTTCGTTTATAAATAACAAGTATAAATACTTTACTTGGGACAAATTCACATTTTATTAAATGAAAAATTACTTAACAAAAATTCTTAAGCTGTTATACAGTATAAGTTATATTTACAAAGCAGTATTTATATTTTCTTAGAATGTTATTATTTATTAGTGTCTGCTCTGCAGTTCTTACGAATTGATACAAATTCAGAATGTAAAACACAAGCAATCTAAAATAGGATAGTGATTTTTTGTACGTCTCGTTTCTATATTAATAAGAAAAAATATACAATATGAATATTATTACAACTTATTTATTTATTAAATGTTGGCCCTAATTCACATTATCATGGTATCAATTTCATATTTTATTGTAGATCATGGACTGAAATTTAGGGTATTAAGTTCATATTGTAAGTTAACAAATTAAGATCTTGAAAATGTTCTGATTGATGTAAGGAAAATATATGTATGACCGAGATGCTTCATTTACTTATGATGTTCAAAGAGAGCAAAAATACAAAAATGTCAAGTGGCGAACGTCCTTGTTAATTGATTATTATGATGATGAAATGAGTTTGATAAATTATTTAGTCACTGCCAGTTGTTGATGAGAATTTAGTTACCTAGTTAGAAGTGCGTTTAATTGTCGAAAAAAACATTTCAAAATAATATGCTCGGGTAAAAGGGTTAAGACTGGCCGAAGACGTTTCAACAGAACAGTGATGAGATCTCAATTGTGTGTTTAAGTAAAATGTATATTAAACGCACTTCATCAAACATATCCGTACATGTATTAATTTTTTTTCAAGAATAAAGTCATTTTTATGGTAGTCTCTTCAATTCAAAAATTATGTGGGAATGTGAAAAGCGAGTAATTTTTGTCACTGTGGAATCTGGTTTACTATAAAATACCTCAATATAAACAGTACTTACACCAACCAGAAATTTTTAATTCTCTAATTTTTCTAGAACAACTTACGATTATGATATGTTCCCATCATACTTTATAGTTAACTTCACAATCTATACATATGGATCCACCATAGAC